AAATGTAGAGAACGCTTGAAACTCATCAGTAAAAACAAACAGAACATTCAGAAAAATGGGTAAAAATGAGGAAACATCTCATCAAAGAAGCGATACCGACGGCAAATAAGCACATGACGAGATGTTTGGCAGCATTAGACACTAGGGAAGTGGAAGTGAAAGCCACAGTGAGCTCGCACTGCCCACCATTAGGACACCCCAAACACCAAGCAGCCGTGACACCGAATGTCGGTGAGCCCGCCGAGAGACTCTCCTCCATTGCTGGCGGAACGCAAACTGCAACGGCCGCTCTGGGAAACAGCTGTAGCTCCTTCCCGCACCAGCCACGCCGTCGCCACACAGCCCAGCAGCTGCGCTCCTGAGCATCGATCCCAGAGAAATGAAATCGTAAATTCACTCGAAAACTTGTATGTGGATTTTCATAGCAGCTTTATTGGTAACAGCCCCAAACTGGAAGCAACCCAGATGTCCTTCAGCAAGTGAATGGTGTAACAAGCATAGGCGTGTCATCTATACACTGGAATACTACGCAGCGGGGAAAAGGGAATGGCCTGGTACACACGACAACCTGGGCAGGCCTCAACAGCCTCATGCTTCGTGAAAGACCAGTAGCAAAGGTTACATAGCGTATGATTCCATTTATATAACATTCTCAGAATGACAGATGGGGGAGAGTTTAGTGGCACCAGGGGTCAGGGATGGAGCTGGGGGCAGGGTGACTAACGGGCGACCGGGGAGAAGTTTTTGTGGTGGTGATCACACACACCTATACACACAGCATGCCTTTGCAGACCACACACACACACACACACACACACACACACATGCATGCACACACATGTGCGCACACACAAGTGCATGTGAAAGCTGGTGAAAACTAAGATCTGTGGTCTAGTGAACATAATGGCCCCAGGGGACCACGCAGGTCGCTGGTTTTGATGCTGTGCTTGGCTACCTAAGACGGTACCACTGGGGGAGGGTGGGCTGCTCTGTGTACTGTTTTTGCAGCTTCTATGAACTAGCAAGCCCGTCGTTCCACTGAGCAGCGACCCTCTTACTCGACACACGCCCCCGCGGTCCTCTGTCACACTCCATTTCCTTCCCCACTGGATCCTACAAACTTCCTGTCCGGGCTCATCTCTGAGCACCACACCGACACCCCATCAAGGGGGAGAGAGAGGCCGTTACAGAAAGTAAAGAGCCAGTTCTTGGCACCGGTGGTTGTGTGTAAATCCCAGGGCTGCTGCATTTACGGAGAAAGGGCTGGAAGGGCAGATACCAGTGTTAGCTGCGGCTAGCTTGATGGTGAGACTCGAGTGAGCTCTGTTTTCATTTTTACATTTAGCTGAGTTCTGAAGTTTGTGTAGTAATGGGATTACTTTTGAGTTAAGAAAAAAATCAATACAAGTTATTATTCTGTAAAATACCATCAGTGCCCCCCCCCACTGCCCACAGCCCAACCCTAATTTCTTTACGAGTGCAAGGCAGGCCATCCGAGCTGGCTCAGCCGACTTCCCTGGTCCCAGCAGCCCCCAGCCCCACGGCTGCCCAGCTCCTGACCTCCAGCCACCGGCCCCTCGGGCTGGGGTGGGAGGGGGCACATGGTCTCTGCCCTTCCCTCTGGGTGGGAGTCGCTTGTCTGTCTCCTGCTGCCCCGTCTCCACTGAGCCAGCTATTGTTTGTCCCTTGAGGTCTTGAGCGCTGACCTCCCCAAGAAGTCTCCAGACTCCACAGGGAAGTGCTGGCTTCCTCGCGCCCGTCACTGCCCGTCGGGTCGTCAGGCCGGTGGCTGCGTCTTCCACATGGGCCCTGACTGGGCCTCTCCCGTTCTCCCCTCCACATCTTCCAGACCTTCCTTACCCACCGTCTTTCCACCGTCTGACGAGAATGGACTTCTGCCTCCTGGTTTTCGGGACATTTAGCCAAAGGGGTGTCCCCACAGGAGCTGAGAGGGAGGGTGGGAGGAGAGGGGCGTCCCCTCAGGCTGGCGGTCCTACACCGCAGGCCCCACCCCGGGGCCCGGGCGGCCATCTGTACAGCCCCTCCCTGTCCTCCCAGCTCCTGCCCTTGTCCCAGGGGGCTGTCAGCTCAGCTGCTGCTCTCCCTGGGGGTGCCCCACACCCTCACACGGGAAAGGGTCCCTTCAGAGGCAACCCCCACCTTGAATTATCCTATTTTGGGGCATCACCTCTTTCCTGGTGGGACTGACTAATATACTCTCAAGGGAGGGGACAGATTTCATTGCTGTCTCTGGCATGCCTGGCACACAGTAGGTGCCCTGTAATTGTACGTTGGATGGATGGATGGATGGATGGATGAACGAAACCTTGGGAACACTGGTTTTGGGATTCCTGCCGTGCGTGCTGTGCTCCGCCCGGTGAGGGGCAGCGCGTGGGCTCCGTCATGTACTTGGCCTCTGGTATCAGACGGCCTTACTCTCCCCTTCTGGGTCCATGCCGTTTGCCACATGCCACTGGATGGGGTGACCACCCACCCCTCGAGGAGCTCAGCCACGTGACTTGCTCTGACCAATGGAAGGTTGGCACGTGGCCACGGGGGCTTGCTCTTTTGGCCATTACCTGGGCTGTTGGGTGGAGCAAAACTCAGTCCCCCCAGTGCCCAGGTCCCCACCAGCCACCCCGATGAGTGGGCAGGCTGGCATGTGAGCAACGGCGTGTGTGGGGGTTGGGTGGTGTGCAGAGTGACCGGGCCCACAGGTAACTGACACTGGCACCTACCCACCATGTCACCTGTACCCTCTGGCCCACGTGCCATTTGAACTCAGTGACCCAGTGCCGCGGAGGCGGGGGAGCGGTCATCCGCTCACTGTGGCCACGCAGCTGGGTGTGAGCCCACGCTTTGGGCCCCAAACCCCTTCTCAGAACAACAAGAGCTGTGCTGTGGGGCTGCCCCCAGGAGGCTGGGCGCCAGGTCCAGCCCGGGCAGGGCGCTCCCGAGTCCGTTTCCTCCGTCCTGCACTCAGCTCGGCTGGCGCCCACAGGGACGCTGACCTCTCCGCACTTGGTAACCTCCACCCCTCCTTCCTGTCAGTCCCCCTTCTCAGACCAACCACCATGCCCAGGAAGCCCGCCAGGCTCTCCCGTCCCCGGCCACCGAGTTGGTCACCTGCCTCTGCCCCGAGTGCCCTGCTAGCCCAGGAGCCCCTTGATGGGGGAGTCCCTCTCCGGGCTCCATGTAGTGACTGGCGCAGAGCCCTGCACACAGCAGGGACTTGATGACTACGTACGTCTTCTGTACGTGTCCACTCTTGTCAATTCTTTCAAGCAAGGGCACAGCGACACGTGTCTGTGTCCCCAGGACGGCCTGGTGTTGGGCGGTGAGCGCCGCCTCTGTCCAGCCTGGGTGTCCGGGGAGGGCTGGGCTTCTGGAGCGGGGACACTTGGCCACTCAGGACCCCACGCTCCCCTGTTCCCATGCCCCTCTCCAGGTCTTTGCCTCTCGCCTGGGTGCTTGATGGCTGTGCTCTCAGCGTGTCCCTCACACATCGGGCCTGTCCGGCCAGTTGCCCCTTACCTTGGGCGGGAACCTCTGTCCCGTGCCCCTCAGTCTCCAGTTCCCTGTAAATAGCCAATTTTATCTCCTCAGTGACAAGGAGCAGCTGGCTGAGGCAGCCTGGCCCTGCTTACGTCCCACGGCCAGGACTGCGGCCAAGTTACTGTGTAACGCCCTCCGGGAGGCCCCACGCCAGCCCACGGCTCTGCCACCTCTCCCTGCCCCTGCTGAGTCGGGCTGGGCCACCCCGTCCGTTCCCAGGAACCCACCAGACCCTGAGAACCTGCCACCATCTCTGTTCCCGCTTAGTGTCTCTCAATGCTCCCCATGGCCTCTGGGGTTCAGTTCCAGCCCCCACTCGTGCTTTACTGGGTCTTTGTCAGACATTTAGATTGGGAAGGGCTTTGCCCTGGATGGAGGGGCTGGGGTGGGGGCTTTTGGGGGGGGCGACCCGGGCCAGAGTTACGCGCCCTCCCCGCCCCCAGGAGAAGGCAGGTCTGTAGGACCCAAGGCTGGGGGTGGGCACAGGGCCCCGACCTTGCTGATAGGTGGACGAAGGGCCCAGAAATGACAACTCACCCTCAAAGCATTGCTCTGGCTCCGGCCCGAGGGCAGGACGAGGGGACGTGGCTCTGGGGGCACAAGGCACTGGAGAGGGACTGTCGTCCCTGGGAGTCTGGGCCCAGGTGCCCTCAAACCGCTCGCTGTGACTTTGGGGCCACGCCAGGCTGGGCAGGGGATGGTACGCGGGGCCGAGAGGCTGGCTCAGGGCGCCAGCATCCCCAGGGCCTGCAGTATGGGGGGGTCTCAGGGCACTTTTCCTGAAGGTGGGGCTCCAGCCATCGCAGGAGACCACCCCCCGCAACGCCCCCTCCAGCCCTCTCAAGCTCACCCCACTCACACACGACCCACACCATCCACACCGTCACCGCTGGCTGCCCACAAGCCCACTCACGTCCTGGCTCTGCACGCACCTGGCCACAGACACACAGACACACGTGGCCTCGGGGACAACCCCAGGCGCCTCTTGCACACCCACTCACGCCTCCCTCAGCTCCTTTCTGACCCGTCCACGCCGCCTCTCAAAGCCACTGGACTTTGTCCAACCCCGTGTTGGCTGCTCCCCCTCCCACGGGCTCTCGTGTACCCCCCGCCCGGGGTCACTTCTGTTCTCTCGGGATGAGAGCTCAGTGGTGACCCACCTGTAACCGGAGCCCATCCCAAGGCCCACATTAGTAAAATCACCCCCTTAACCAGACACTAAAGAAACCCCAAATCTTTCCCTAAATCCCACAGTAAAAACCCAGTACAAACAAGTATTTGGGTTTTTTCCTACACAGAGTTTTTTTTTTTAGTAGACATAGCCTTTCTTCTCTTTCTCGTTTTACAGCAAACATTGCAAATATAGAAATATTTTTTCTGTACAGTAGGACGACAACAGTGTACAGCGGCAACTGGGCTGGATCCCACTCCCAGCCCACGTCCCCCCAGCCACCCCAGCCGTCCGCAGGCACACCCCTCCCCCCGTGAGTCCCCCAGGGCGGCAGGGCCTCCCAGACGCCACTTGGCCGCCTGCTTTCACGATCCCCTCTTTGGTGACCTCCAGAGGTGGCATTGAAGACACAGACTGAACAGAGTCCACAGGAAACCACGGACGGAGATCATGCGAGGAGCCAGGTGGCCATGCTCCCCACGTCTGGTGTTTTATGTCTTAATTTTTAAGAGAACTTTACTTCTGTTGTTTTTTTTTTAAAAAAAAAAAAAGGAAGAAAATAGAGAGGAAAAGATAGGCAGAGAAGAATCAAGAGGAAAGATACTGAAAAACAAATTCCCCTCCCCCACCCCCATCCCTAAGACACAGTTTTCCGAAGTCCCTTGTGTGTGCGTGTGCGTGTGTGTGGACAGGCCGCTCACACCAGTGAGACGGTCTCAGGGCAGGTCCGTGCACGTGGCCACGGTCCATTTGCTGTTGTCAGTGTCTGCGCCCCCTCCCTGCTTTCTACGTGGGGCCCCAGTGCTGCCGTGTGTGTGTGTGTGTGTGTGTGTGTGTGTGTGTGTGTGTGTGTAGAGAGAGAGAGGGAGAGAGAGGGAGAGAGAGAGAGAGACACACGTGTGACAGTCTCTGGGTTACAAAGAGCTGCAGTGGGGCTTGTGTCCTTTTTGGTCCCGTGGGCATCACGAGTTGGGGGCTCAGGACTTGTGCTGGGCCGACACGCCCTTCCAGTAGTCCAGGATGTCGTGCAGGTCCTCGTCTTTGGCGAACTGGACCTTCTTGCGCAGCGCGTGGCCGGCGGCCAGGAACTCCTCGTGGTCCCTGTGCCGCCGGCGGCTGGGGCGGAGGCGCTCCCAGATGCTGTGGGGGGCCCTGCAGCTGTGCTCGGGGCTGGAGGAGTAGCTCAGGTGCTGGTACTGTGGGGACAGCTGTGAGTAGGCCAGGTCGCGGGGCCGCGGCCGCGTCAGAGGCTCCAGGATGGACGCCTTGCGGCCTCCCAGGCCTTCATGGGGTGGGGGCGCCGGTGGCGCGGGCGGCTCGGCAGGGTGGGAGCCCGGGTACGAGTGCCGGTGCTCGCCGTACTGGCGGCTCTTCTCGGCCTCGGCCCGCAGCACAGCGGCGGCGGGTGTCACAGTGAGGATGGCGTCGGCAGCGGGTGAGCTCTTCTCGATGTACTTGGCCTCGGTGGCCGCGACCTTGTGCGCGCTGGTGGCCTCGGCGCGGAAGGCCCTGGGGCTGCGCGTGGAGCCGCTGGACGAGGTGCTGGCGCGTGGGGGCCCAGGGGCCGCCTCCACGCTGTGGTGCCGCTGCAGGCCGTGGCTGAAGGTGTCCTTGTACACGGGCGACAGGAAGCCGTGCTTGCTGGCCAGCGGCTCGGACAGCAGCACCAGCTGCGGCTCGGCAGTGGACACGGCGCCAGACTTGCCGCCCTGGAAGGAGGTGGACTCGGACTTGAGCGCGTCGATGCAGTTGTTGATGATCTGGTTGACCTTGTCCACCTCCTTGGCGATGGTGGAGATCTCGGCCACCGAGCCCTGGCTGTCGGGACCCGGCCGGCCCAGCTCGCAGTCCCTGCGCTCCGCCGGCTCCCCGGTGCGCACCTCCATGTAGGTGCCCTTGCTGGCCTTGGGCGTCTCGCTCTCCGCCAGCTTGTACGGCTCCACCTCACTGGCGGCTGCCGGCAGGAACGGGATGCGGGTCACGGCCTCGGGGCCCAGCAGCGGGCCCTGGGACAGTGGGGCCAGGCCGGGCGCCTCCATCTCCGGCCCATACTTGAGCTCGATGATGGTCTTCTTGAGGCTGCTGGCTGCGGCCGCGGCGGCCGCCTTCTTGTGCTTCTCCTCCTGGTGCCTGCGCTTGCGGAGACAGTAGTAGACGGCGCCAAGCACCAGCACCATGCCAAAGAGACAGCCCAGGATGGTCATGATGTAGTGGGTGGCCGTGGAGGGGCTGGGCACGGGGCCCGGCGGGCTGGGCGGCTTGGGCAGGCAGATGGTGAGGCAGGTGTGGTTGTGGTGCAGCCCCGAGCTGCTGGACACCACGCAGTAGGTGTAGTTGGTGAGCGTGTAGAGGTTGGTCAGGCGGATGTCCTCCTGGGGCTTGGTCAGCCTGGACACAGTGGACGACTTACTGTTGTTGAAATGCTCCAGTGTGTACATGCGGTTGAACGGGCTGGGCAGCTGCACCGTGATGGTGGCCGAGTTCTGTGTCAGCTGCTTGACCCTGATGAGGGGCCGTGCCTCGGCCTGGGTGGCCAGTGTGGGCAGGGCCACCAGCGGGGTGGTGCCGTCGCCGGAGAAGCACTCGTCCGCGGCACAAGGGGCGTCGCTGGGCTCCGGCGGTGTGGGTGGCACACGGCCCGGCGGCGACCGCTCGGGCACCAGGCGGGGCTCAGCCGCATAGGCGCCGTCGGTGCACACGGACTGCAGCGTGGTAAGGATGCTACGCTGGCCGTGCCGGCCCTGACCCAGCAGGAAGTAGCCGGAATAGTGCGGCGGCGACTCGCACTGCATGCGGTCGTAGGTGTGCGTGGCGTTGGTGAAGGCCGCCAGCCAGCGTAGGAAGCCCAGCAGCTCGCAGGAGCAGTAGAAGGGGTTGCTGTACAGCTCGCAGGCCGACAGGCGGGACAGGCCCGCGAAAGTGGCGCTGTGCAGCCGCTGGATGCGGTTCATGGAAAGGTCCACGTTGACGATGTTGGGGCACTCCCAGAAGGCGCCGGGCGTGACCACCTCGATGAGGTTGGCCTGCAGGTACAGGTACTCCAGCTTGCCCAGGCCGCGCAGCACGCCCTCCGTCAGGTTGCGCAGCCGGTTGTAGCCCAGCTGCAGCACCTGCAGGTTGAACTGGCCCGAGAAGGCACCGTCCTCGATGTAGGTGATCTCGTTCTTGGTCAGGTTCAGGTACGTGAGGTTGCCGAAGCGGCTGAGCGCGGCGTGCTGCACGCTGCGGATGCGGTTCTCGTTCAGCCGCAGGTCCACGATGGTGCTGTTGATCTGCTGCGGGATGGCCTCGTACGGCGGCTGGTTCTGGCTGCAGATGGCCAGCCACACGAAGCCCTTGTCGCCCTCGATCAGCCAGCAGTCACCGCGGGCCAGGCCGCCCGCGTGCAGCAGGGCAGCCGCCGTCACGCACACCCACAGCACACCCCACCGGCTCCCAGCCATGGGGTCTGCCCTCGCGGAGACCCCGCTCAGCCTGCCCAGGGGTGCTGGGTGGGGGGCTGGGCCGCAGCCCCTGGAGGGAAGGAGGGGCGGGAGGGGACAGTGCCCACACGCTCAGGGGCGTCCTGTCCCAAGCTGCATGGTCCCACAGTGCGAGAGCTGGGGGGGAATGCGCCCCCTCACTGCCAGCCGCCTCTCGTCGTCCGCCCGCCGTGTCCTGGCAGCACCATGGCTTCCCTGCCCATCGGCCTGGGTGTCCGGACAGCTCCACCCTGCACCTCCAGCTCAGCGGCTCCTGCGGCAAGACAAAGGAGAGCCGGTCAGGTGGTGGCTGGGCTTCCCAGGCCCCAGGGTCAGGTGTGGGTCTGCACCAGCTGAGCCGAGCGGCCTGGGAAAGCCTGAAGTCACACAGCTGGTGAGTGACCAGTGACGGGACGCTTTGCCCCGCCTCCTGCAGGCCGGGTTGTCTGCTCCCAGGGCCAGGCCACAGCACTGCAGCCGCCTGCAGGGGGTGCTCTGAGCTCCCCTCCAGTGACTCTCTGGAGACACCAGACAGGCATCTAGGAAGGCCAGGCCCTGGGGCTGAGCTGTCCTGTGGCATGGCCTGGGCACATTGTGCCACTCTGGTCCTCGGTTTCCCCAGTGAGCCAGCTCGATGGTCTCTGCGGCTTTCCACCTGGTCCGGGACCCGGAGGCTTCCCCACCCCATGTCGGGGGCTCTGCCAGGCTCCCCGCGGTCTCCTCAGGCTCAGAGAAGGACCTGACCCTTCCCCTCCCACAATGACCCTTCCCCTCCCGCCTGTCAAAGCACCTGGCCCTCTGCCCCTTGCACCTGCAAGGAGCCCAGGATGTGACTGTGGGGACCACGCAGGCAGGAGCCAGGCTGTGTGTGGGGAGACGTGGCTGGACCTGGCCCTGGGCTTCTGCTCCTCCAGGGCCCCCCGCCCGACAGGAGGACCCCAGTCTGCGGGTGTCACCGCTCGGCCCACGTCTTCTTCCCGCAGGACAGACGAATGGGTGTGTGTTTGCTTGTTAGTATTTGGATTTACAGTGGCCTCTGTAACTGCTCTGTGGCCTGGCGAGCGGCCAGCTGAGTGCATGGCACTGATATTGACGTTTGCAGCTAGTCTGCACTGAGGCGGCTTAAATTAGGAGAAAGACGTATGATGTGAAATAGATTTTCCCCTTTGGAAACTTCATAAAGAACGGTTTTGATCTGGCGCCCAAGGCAGACCCTGTTTCTGATTTAAAGAGGGGGAGAGGTCAGATGGGCTTGGGGCTGGGGAGAGGCCCTGGCGGCCGTGGTGGAACCCACCCTGGGCTTGGCCGGAGTTGCTGCGTGACATTCAGTCAAGACTGGCTCTCTGGGTGCAGTCTGAAATGGCTCCGGGGGCCAGGCAAGTAGGCTTGGGTTTTCTCCCCAAAGGAGGGCGCCTGCTAACTGGAAGCTGGGGTCCCTGTGTGGTCTGGCTTGTGACACAAAACCGACAATCCCGTGGGGGGTGTTCTGGGCTCCTTTCTGTCACCATCTCATAGCACCTGCTTGCCTGCCCATCCACCCAGGACAACCTGGCAAATGCTGCGATTTCTGTCCCCTGGGGCTCCTGAGGCCTCGAGCCGCTCAGCCCGGGGCTGGTGGGGGCTGACTCCTGCCCCAGCCTCCAGCAGGGTGCGGGGAGCAGCCGGCCCCCCAGGAAGTGTGGCGCCTCAGTAAAGCTGATCATAATCACCTCTAATCTCTTGCTCAAAATAACCCAAAGTCAAGTTAAGGAGGATTACAGGGCCTAAAGAACCCTCATCACAGGCAAGGCGCTGGCAGGAGGGGGCGGGCTCCAGGGCTCCCCGCCTCTCCCTGCCCCCACGCCCAGGGCCCGTCCCCACGACAGTGGTCACTGAGCCGCTGCCGGGCTGGCCCAGGGCCCGGAGCTCCCGCACCGTGGGATGCGTACCTGTGGGCCTGCGTGCCCATGGGTTCCCACACATGTGCTGGGTCCGCCTGTGTGCACACAGGTCTGCGTGCACAGGGGGAATGTGTATTCCGCACACACGTGGTGGCACCCACATTCACGTGTGTGGGTGAATGGCACCACCAAGGTCCAGCCAGGCCCACTGTTGCCACCACGGGTCCCCCCCCAGCAGTGACAGTCTAGGAATTTGTGCTTCTGTCTGGG